CATCGTTATCACAGATTCGCCTATCGAGCACGGCAGAGAGTTAATAAATATTAACTTAATGGCACCAGTGATATTTGCGAGAGAATTCATAAATGCGATTAGAAAACGCAATGCTTCCCGCCATATAATAAATATCAGGATGTAGGAATTCTCTTAGGGTTGTATTCATATGTTGCAAAATTTGATTGACTCGTATCGAAAATTCTTGCATCTATTATTATAGATGCATATTATTATTATTATTATTATATTATTATTATATTATTATATTATTATATTATTATATTATTATATTATTATATTATTATATTATTATATTATTATATTATTATATTATTATATTATTATTATTATATTATTATTATGCATATTATTATTATTATCTATTATTATAGATGCATTAAACATAAAATTAATAGTATATCGAGATCTTGCATATCTTTAATTAGGGTATTAATATACATGTTAATGCTATCTTCATATCAGAGTCGCGGTAAAACTTTGGTATTTTTGTTAAAAGTAACTATAGGTTAAACCAAGGTTAAACTAACCCTCTCTCTCTCTCTCTCTCTCTCTCTTCTTATTTATTTTAAATCCTTTTATTTACTCTCTGATTGCTCCCCGAACTTTAATTAATTCTGTCGAACGTATGAAAATTCAATACATGCTTTTGAGATTCCAACATTAATGATTCAACATCTATATATACGATGACGTTTATTTATCAAAAATATTGGTTCACAATATTGTGCGATTAAATTTGTATTTTTTCCGATATATCACGTCACAGAGCACAGGAAAATGCAATAAATTCTCTAGAAATTGTCCCTCAACTTGTAAGCAAAAATGGACAGTTTGGGAAGAGAAGATATGATTATTCGAGCCTCGCGACTCGTTTTTATAGTTGTTGATATATACAGACATAAGTAAACGTTATAAACGTGGTTTTGCTTGTCTGAGAGTACAGGTTATTGCTTTAATTTTAATTTTCTTGTTTTTCCAACTACTTTTCTATTTTTGAAGGGGCAGGTTTTCAAGTTCCGAAAGTATTGCAGTGGAGGATTGTTTTCGTTTCAGTGCAGTTGTTATTTCAGTAATACATTCAGTAGTTATTTCATAGTATTGTGTCTTTTACGAAAACTAAGCTGGTGGTCGGACATTAAAATGTTCTTTATTATTTTTTAGAGTTCGATTTGGATGATTTTTTTTAACATTATCAGCTTCTCAAATACAAGTATTATCAGGTCGTCAAGTATAAAATTTGCAGAAAAATAGGAAAAGTTTGCTGATAATTTATAAACACAAGAAACGATTTTACTCATCTAAGTATGCGCCCAAATTATCAACACATTGTTGCCATTTAAGCGGCAGGTTGTTCAGCCCGGTGGTATAAAAACCTGATGGACGAGAGTCTATGAATTCCTGGAAGGCAAATTTTACTGCATTATCGGAATTGAAATTTGTTCCTATCAAGAAGTTGTCCCAAATTACGAAAGAAGTGGTAGTCTGTGGGAGCTAGATCTGGTGAGTATGGAGGATGATGAAGAAGTTCCAACTCCAATTCCTATAGTTTTGCCACGGTCATTTGCGCAGTGTGTGGTCTGGCGTTATCTTGCAGTAAGATAGGAGTCGATCTGTTGACCAATCTAGGCTGTTTTTTTTTAAAGTTCTAGCATCATTTTGTCTAGTTGCTTAAAGTATATTTCTGCTGTGATCGATGAGCCTGGTTTCATGAACTCGTAATGAATTACACCTGCACAAGTCCACCAAACACTGACCATCAACTTCTTCTGATGAATACTACGCTTTGGAGTATGTTTTGGAGATTCGTTCTTGTCTAACCACTGCGCTGAACGCTTGCGATTGTCATATTGAATCCATTTCTCATCACAAGTGATTATTCGATTCAAAAATGGATCAGATTTGTGGCGAGAAAGCAACATCAAACAAGCTTCCAAACGCTTTTGTTTCTGGTTTTCGTTCAGTTCATGAGGAACCCACTTATCTAACGTTTTCACTTTCCCGATTTGAGCTAAATGAGTTAATATTGTTTGTTTGCTTACACCGAACTTTAATGATAATTCATAAGCACTTTGAGATGGATCAGACTCAACGGTGACCTTTAGTACGTCATTATTGAC